ACAATCTTGCTGACTCAGCTTCTCAAGTGACACTTTTCATTTTTAATCTTTTCTAGCCCCCGGTGGAACCCACCAGCACAGAGGCCCACCGCCTCCCATTTTTTTAATTCAAGGGCAAGCAGAGACTCACCTGGCAGGGCTGCATCAGTGTCAAATCGGTCAACTGAATCCTCCTCAGCCTGGTCACCAGGTGTCCAGAGTTGGGTCACTCTTAGTGGCTAGTTCCTAGCTGACAGCCTCATCCATCCTCACTCGAGCTCAGGGCCTGTGGGGAGCCAGAGACCCCTGCCTTCATCTCTCCTCTCCAGTGATATGACAAGCCTGCCCACCCTTTCCTCTTTCCATCCCCAAAGGACTTGCATCAAAGCCACCCCATTCTGCAACAGAACATTTGTGACTTCCGTAGTCAGACGGACATCCACCCAAACGCAAACTTGCCTTGAGCTTGTCTGGTGGTCTGGCACGGTCCCCTGCCATGCTGAAGGCTGAGTCGGGAAGGGCTTTGAAAACAGATTCAGTTACACGTAGGACAGGGCACCCCTAAACCCCATTTTGCTCCTGCTCCCTTCTTTTCCACTTGGCAGGCCACGTTTCCATTTGCAGGCACTGGCTGTCACCACAATGGACCCCTTCCACCCAGCCCACAGACCTCTCAGGGCTGTTTCTGTCTGCACTCAGTCCAGCAGCCACAGCCAGCATCCCAGTGATCTCAGGAAAGATGTGTACACGTGAGACTTCACCTAGAGGCAGTTCCCCAAAGGGCCCCTGTCCCAGGCCATCCCTACCACCAGAAGCCAACACCCCTATAGGAGCATTCACAAGCCAAGCATGATGCAAGGACATACCCCTAGCGCCTGAAGAAAAGCCAGGGTCCCTCTAGGGATCTGGTCTAGAGGCCCTGACGCCCACTTGTCCCCAGGAACAGTAAGACTGTTTTCTTTTCCCAAGTTAACAGTTCCCAAGATTTGTGGTGGGGAGGGGGTTGCAGCTGAGCAAGCAATGACTGGAAATGAAACCTAGAGCCTGTCAAACTGGCAGGAGGTCCCCCTTCCTGTCCTCCAAGTTGGCCCCTGGTAATCACAATGCCCACAGCTCTCTCTGTCCAGGAATCATGGAACTCAGCTCTGCGTGGTCACCAGGGGACTAACATCCTATCTCCCCAATTGAGAATTGGGTCCTCAACTCAAATATGTGTCCTTCCCCATCACCTAGCTGGTCCACTGAACCTGCTGGGCCAGGGAAGCCCGAGAGGCCAGCAGGGGATCAACATGGTAGACTGAGGCAGAGACTGACTCCCTTGGGGTCTTTCCTACCTGCCCAGTTACCCTACTGCTGGACCCTTGGCACTCAGCCAAGCTCTTCGTTTGGCTGTAGCCAGGGCCTGCTCATGTACCCACCTGGCTAGTACTTACCAGCCTCTACCTGGAGCCTGTTGAGGGACTGCCTTGAAGCCATTCCAGGCCAGCGCCTGATGCCTGGTCCTATCAATTCCTCCCTGAAGCCATTGAGAGATACAGGTACTACTAACACCCCATGTTCACATGAACAGACACAGAAATAAAACCAGCTGGCCAATGCTGAACAGCCTTGTAACAGCAAAGCTGAACCCCAGAGGGTCTGGCTGCTTCCTGTCCATGCTCTATTCTGCTGTCCCCAAAGCAGGCCTTAGGGCTCCACATCTGCTTAAAGGCCAGACAGGGAGATGAAGAGGTTGCTCAGTGGTTAAGAGCACTGGTTGCTCTCGCAGAGGACTGGGATTCGATTCCTAGTACCCACGTGGCAGCTAACAACCGTCTATAACTCCAGTTCCAGGGGAATTGGACACCCTCTTATGACCTCCACGGGCATTGCACAACACGGGTGCACTCACATACATGCAGGCAATGCACTCATACACGTTAAATAAAAATAATAACTTTTTTAAAGTTTAAAAGAGAAAGGTCAGTGCTCGCTTCGGCAGCACATACACTAAAATTGGAACGATACAGAGAAGGTTAGCATGGAAAAAAAAAAAAAAGAAGGCCAGACAGGATCACATAACCATCTGCAAGTGGAAGGTGCTGAAGCACAGGGAACAAGCTGGGTCTTGAGGGATGTGTAGGAGTCTGGAAAGTACAGAAAAGGGGAAACAAGGGCCTCTCTCAGTCAGGGAATATCAGTGAGATCACCTGGGTAAAGAAAGAGGCACAGGCTTGGTGGCAGAGGCAGGCCCAGGAACTGATAAGCAGGATCATAGTATCAGAGGTGAACTTTAGGAGGCGGTGGCAAAGAGCTACAGGAAACTGAGATTTGCTGCTGTTGAGCTGAGACTCCTTCCTCTTTGGCTCAAGTAGAAGAATCCTGTGAAGGGGTTCCATACTGTCACTAGTGTCCGTGTCACTGCAAGGCAACCTGATCCAAGTAAGGGACACCCCACCAACTGACTTCTGCTTCTCCTCTCTGTGTGCATGTGAGCTGGTTCCCATTCAGACAGCACCAAGTTGCCAGTGTCTTGGGCACCCCAGTGGACTGCTTTCTGGAGCACCAAGCCACCAAAGAGCCCACAAAGGGTGCTGAAGGGTAGGTGGTGGTTTTGTGCTGGTTTGCTTGCTTGCTTGCTTGAGACAGGGTCTTCCTATACAGCCCTGGCTGGCCTATCACTTGCTATGTAGACTAGGCTGCCCTTAAACTCAGAAATCCCTCTGCCTCGGCCTTCCTCTGCCACACCAGGTGTTTGTTTGGGGTGTTTGTTTATTTGTCTTTTGAGACACGGTGTCTCTTATGCAGCCCTGGCTGGTCTGGCACTCACTATGTAGATCAGGCTGACCTCAAACTCACAGCAATCTGCCTGCCTCTGCCTCAGGAGTGCTGGGATTAAAGGTGTGCACCACCACACCAGGTTTGTTTGATGTTTTGATGGCTTTGCAAAGAGTGAACCTCTTTCCCTCACTTACCTGGTGGAGGCCAGGAATTCCTCCTTAAGTGTATTTGAAATTCCTCATTTGTCTGAATCATTGAATTACTGTGTGGCTTGGGCAAGTCTTCCAGCTTCTCTGCACTTTGTTCCCAGCGAGTTAGGGGTCTCCCTTTTCCATCCGTAGTCATCTTCCCATTTCCTTTAAGCATTCTCAGTAGGAGGCTATGGTGTTGGTGTGCTGCTCACTGGCCAAGCACAGGCGTGTGCAACCAGACCTGGCCAAGAGCAGCCAGCACTCTGCCAAAATGGGGGCCCATCAGTGCTCAGGGCACACTGTAAAGAGGAAGACCTGCACAGAGAAAGCATGCAGGGTTGGGGTGAGGAGGGACACCAAACCTGGTAGCTGAAGTGATGTGCATGCCACAGGAGGAGAACCATGAAGTCAGTTTAAGCAGCATCAACCCTGGGCCCTGAAGGAGCTGTGCGGAGAGAGGAAGAGGAGAGACCAGGACAGCGAGATGGGAGGGAACTGGAAGCAGGGAAAGCCACCAAGCTCCCCGTCCCAGGAACAAGCTCCCCCAAGTCAGCTTCTGTTCTCACCTCCAAGGCTCAGATTCTGGAGCCCGTGGTGGGGCAGTGAATGGTACCCAGGCCCAAGGTGCCCCCTCACCTTCCACCCTCGGCTTATACCCAGAATCCCTGCATGCTTCAGGAGAGCAGAGCGCTTCGGTAGGAGCACGTTGGCACTGTCCGGCTCCTTTCTGACTGAGCCCGGTTCTAATCGGCTAGCACACTGTGGAGGCACACCTCACCCCCAGACTTGTCAGGGTACCCTGATCTCAGGAACCTCTACCCCACCCAGGTTCCTGGCTGCAGCATCTGTGGACCAGCATGAGCTGAGGTGAGTCCTGCAAATGAGAAACATTCAGGACATTTCTTCCAAGCTCAAACCCTCCAAAGCTGCAAGGTACTTTCCTCCATCTGGAGCTCAGGGTAAGCCAGGAGACCAGGCACTGAAAAACTGAACTAGGAGATGCTTGGTGATGCTCTGCCCTACAGCGGCCCAGGAGTATGAGGTTCTGAATTTCCAGCACTTGGACGAGAGTTCCATGTTCCCCAGCCTGTGAAAAGTCCCAGGGGACTTTGATTGTAGCAGTTTGAACTGGGTCGCGGCCTTAAAAGCCAAGTCACTCCTCTCAAACTTCCCTGGCCACGGAGTCTCACTCCCGTAGTTTTAACTTGCTCAAAAAGAGTAAAACCAGGGCTCCCCCTGGACTTCAGGTGTGTAGTGGCAAATCAATCATGTAGTACCAGTCTAGGGCCCTTGAAGTCCATCTTGAAAGCGAGATGCCCGCATAGGTTCGAGAGATCAGGACTTGAGGAGCAGGTCAACAGGGTTCTAGCACCGTGTGTGTCCCTAGGTGCAGCGGGGCCTGGGCATGCACTCATCCACTAAGCCAGCTTTGGGCTGGAGCTCAGAACAGGCAAGGAGCGAGGGCTGGGACCCTGAGTCACAGGAATAACTGCAGCTGTCCGGACCCGACGGCACCCAGCCTGCTCACGTGGCCTGCGTTTGTTCAGGCCCAACCGTGGGTACCCGGTCGTCGCGGTCGCTGAGCCCCACTAGCAGAGCCAGTTTCGGGTCACGTGGCACCGGGGCCAGAGCCCCGGAGCTGCGCTGACCGGAGGGGAAGGAGGGACCAACTCCCGAAAGGGAAGGAGCGACGCGGCCGGGGCGGGGCCGCCCGCGCTCTCGGGATTCCCTGCGGAGCCTCTCCGGCTGGGGTCCCCAGTCTGCAGCCCTCGGGTCACCCGCCTTCGACCGGCGCCGCGTCCTCCCGCGCGCGGTGAGCGCTCTGGCCGGCGATCTTTCCGCGCGCCGCGAAGACCTCGCTCCCCGGGCGCTGCGCCTCTTCCAACCCGCGGCTCCTCCCTGAACGACCTGGGACGGGCGTCCCCGGGGAACGGCAGCGGGAGAGCGGGGTGCGCAACCCGAGCGGCGGCACCTGCCCAGCGCTCGCGCGGGCGCGGATGGAAGCTGCCCGGTGACCGTGACCTCGACGCCGGTCCTTCTCCTCCGCAGGTCGAACTCGTGCCAAGGAAGATGTACCAGAGCCTGGCGCTGGCTCCGAGCCCCGGCCAGGCCGCCTATGCCGACTCGGGGGCCTTTCTACACGCCTCGGGTGCGGGCTCTCCGGTGTTCGTGGCGCCCGCGCGCGTGCCTTCCATGCTGCCCTACCTGCCCGCGTGCGAGGCGGGCCCGCAGCCTCCCGCGCTCGCGGCGCACCCGGGCTGGGCGCAGGCGGACTCCCCGGCCTTCGGCCCCGGCAGCCCGCACCCTCCGGCCGCACACCCGGCGGGAGCCGCCGCCTTCCCCTTCGCGCACAGCTCCCCGGGCCCGGGCGGCGGCGGCGCAGGGGGCCGGGAAGCCGGCGCCTTCCAGGGAGCGCTGCTGACTCGCGAGCAGTATCCGACCCCGCTCGGGCGGCCCGTGGGGTCGTCGTACCCCACGACCTACCCCGCCTACATGAGCCCCGACGTGTCCCCGCCGTGGACATCCGGACCTTTCGATGGCAGCGTCCTGCACGGTCTGCAGGGCCTCCCGGGCCGCAGGACCACCTTCGGTGAGTATGGGGCTAGGGCCGCCCTGTGGGTCCGCTCTGGCGCCGCCGCTCCAGATAAACCCGCGTGCTACGAAACGCGCGCCTGCTACCGGGCTCTCTCCCTAGATCCGATCCCGCGGCGTCCAGCCCAGAATTCCCTGGGCCCAGAAGCCTTCGAGGAACACGCCGGATGAAAAACACCAGGGCTGGAATTATTTTTTCTAGCATAATCCAAAAACGTAATCTATTTCTGCTTTTCATCCGACTGAATCCAAAAGAGCGTTCTGGGTTCTGCCAGTTTGGAGCCTGTGTCTTATTTGGAACTGAGTTTTGGTTTTCGAGACAGGGTCTCAATATTGTAGATCAAGCTAGCCTCAGAGGTGCCTCAAGGTGCCCAGTCACCACAATCCTACCTCAGCTTCCCTGTGCCATGGGATTACAAGCATATGCCACACACCAAGCTGGATTTGGTTTTTATAAAATCAAAATAACGATTATTTGAGCAAGTCACCACAGCCATCTCATTCTACAGCACTGAGAGTTCCATACCCCAGGAACCCAAATTAGACTGATTAGATTCCAGGGCTGTAATGCGGGGAATTGCTCCACCCGCTTTCTGAGTATTTTCTAGGCACGGCTGCTACACTGAGGGGGGAGGGGGCTCTGTTTGCTGCCTCAGAGCCCTCTTTGGGCCACCCCTGGGAGACTTGGAGGTCTGGCCCCCTCCTCCACAGCTGCCTCTTGGCCCCTGCAAGTCTGGCACACTTAGGGGTCCAAGGCACAGGTTTGGGGAACCCTAGTCCTTGGCCACCCGGCACAGCCCTCCTGCCTGGCCCCCACCCCTGGCCAGGAGATAATTGATTCCTGCCCTGCCCCCAGCAGTGCTGTCTGCATATCTGTGGTGCCTGGGTGGGTCTGGAGAGAACGGGAAAGCAAAGCCCTCCACCTCTACTCAGAGTCAGGGATTCCCTGATGCCTGCTGCCTTCCTGCCTTCAGAGGGAGACTAGTGGTTGACACCACAACAAAACTGACAGCAAGGCCATCAGGGTCCTTGAGGAATCTCAGATCTCCAGGAGGCCCCTAAGCGGGTAGGAGATGGCCATGGGGGGTACGGTGCTGCCAGCCACTTTTGTCTGCTTCCCAAGCTTGTTAAAAATATAGAGGCTGGCATGGACCCTGGTTCAGAAAGGGGGCATCCCAGGTGTTTATTCACACTCCTGCTTGATAAAAACGAACCCTAATGAATTTCACTAAAACAGAAAGATTAAGTACAAAAATAAATCACTTTTTTTAAGTAGTAAGTTTAAGACAATGAAAGGAGGACAGAGCCCAACAGAAGCCCTCCACACCCCAGGGGGGACAGAAGCCCCTGTCCACAAGCTTCTTGTTCCCACAGTATCCGACTTCTTGGAGGAATTCCCAGGCGAGGGCCGGGAGTGTGTCAACTGCGGGGCCCTGTCCACGCCACTGTGGCGCCGTGATGGCACCGGTCACTACCTATGCAACGCCTGCGGCCTCTATCACAAAATGAACGGGGTCAACAGGCCACTTGTGCGGCCCCAGAAGCGCCTGGTGAGTGTGGCAGGGAGAGGGCCAGGACCACAGCCACAGAGGGGACAAAGAAAATGGCTGGCTCCTGCAAGCTCACAGGTGTCCAGGCTCCTGAGGGGTGGGGTGGAGATTCAAGCACAGGAGCACCGTGGGGAACCCAAGGCTCCTGGTTGGGCCAGGCCCACTCAGTTCCTCCCAGGAGCATGAAGACACCTCCAGGGGCAGGCAGGAGCCAGATCCTGATGGGATCTGGAGGGACCTGGCGGGACCTGGCTCAGGTATTAGAACCCACAGCAGCACTGGCTGCTCAGCACCTGGCAGAACAAACAGTGTTTCAGAGCTACTTGCTACGTGGCCACAGGATGTCTCAGGGCCTGGTTTGGGGATGAGCTCTGCCCTGGATGTGGAAGCAGGACCTCTGTGGACCCCTGGGGGCTCAGTCCTGCAGTGGAGGTGTGCTGGTAGTGATGGTGGCAGGTGGCAGCCTGACTGGATGTCAGAGGCCTCAAAGTGACCCACCAGGGCAAGGCTTGGAAAGGGGCACAGGTGTGTTGCTGGGGGTGTCGAGAACTTAAATAAGAGGATCTTTGGGTGTGTGTGCTTGGGGAGGAGCGCTTCCTGCCCATACTTTGAGGATCTGCACGAATCCAGGTCTTTCTGCTTGTTGCCGAATTCTCTGAGAAAACTTGTTTTCGCTTTTGGTTCTTCCTGGGAGTGCGTGGGTAAGAGTCGGGACTCTGCGGCTGGTTAGGAGTGAGGGTTTAGGGTCTGGGACTGGGTGCGTCACCAGAAGTTGCCAAGATTGGAAGTAACTTTGCACTTTGTCATCTGACAGGCAAACCTTCAAGTTCAAGTTTAAATATGAGTTTGAGTCGGGATTGTTGGCAGCTTACCTAATGTTCACATACAGATTGTGGTGGCTATGTGGATCCCAGGCCCCAGCAGGGCCATTCCTGAACACCAAGTCTAAAGGTGTGGGCCCCGAATGAGTGCCAGTATGTCTCCCTGGAAGGTGCTTCTCATCTCCAGGTCTCAGAACAGGCAGTTTCTAAGGGCTGGCTGCTGTAGTCCTGTTAGGCCTGCATTCTTGGAAGTGGTTTCCTGCACACCCTGACATGGGGCTGTAGCTCTGTACAATCTCAGTGTTGTGGGCACATGAGTCCCTATGATAAGCACAACTGTGTGAACTCCAGGAGGCAGGTGAGATGCAGGAAGGGGTTCCAGGGAAGCCACGTCTCTCTCCTTCTGAGCTAGCCTGGCATTTGGGGATCTGCAGGCCCACCCTGCCACCACACTGGGCCTCTTGCCATCCAAGGGGCTACACAGAGCTCACTGTGCACTTTGGCCCCTTCCTTTAGCAATCTGCTCTGTGATGGGGTCCCTCTCCATGTGGGCTGCCCAACCAGGTTTCAGTAACATTTACTGATGTGGAGCCAAGGACAGCAGGATAGACAGGTGGCACAGGCATTCGGGACTGTATCCCAGGCTGCCAGGCACAGTCTCCCGAGGAAGCAGACCTACTCTGTCCCTTGACTGCCTACTCTTCCTCCATGCCAGGCTCTGAACTGGGCACCCAGACACAGTGGTGAGCAGAGAGGAGTCAGGCAAGAGCCCACTAGTCTGCTAGTGGAGGGGTGGAGGGGCGGGGCTCTCTGTCCCTCACAACTGAGTTTTCCCTGAGCTGACAAAAGACACACCTTTAACCCGGTCCACTGTGTCCCTCCAAAGAGGCTCCACTTGGAACTGGAGGTATTTTGAGCCTTGGCCCATCCCTAAGGTTCCAATTGCCTTTTCACCCAGCCAGTGTTGGGTAACTGAATTCTGGGATCTAAGAAGGCCTCTACCAAATTTTTCCCCTTCCAAAATGCTTCCCAGCACAATAACCTGTCCCTCCAAGGGAGGCTCCAGCCTCCTTCCTTGAGTCCACCTTGTCCACCGGGCTGATTTATTTAGAGGTCCCTAATTCACAGAGGCTAGTGCTCAGAGATGCTCTCCTTCAGGTGAAGAGCCATTGAAGACGAACTTCTCTTGAAAAGGACAGAATGCCGGGCGTGGTGGCGCTCGCCTTTAATCCCAGCACTAGGGAGGCAGAGGCAGGTGGATCTCTGTGAGTTCAAGGCCAGCCTGATCTACGTAGTGAATTCCAGGCAAGTTGGTGCTACAGGGAGGTCCTGTCTCAAAAGGTTTAAGAAAAAAAAAAAATGCAGCCAGGAGAAGGGGGCTGGTGGGCTCCCAAAAGTGGCCAGACATGGCTGCCTGCACAGATGAAGAGGAAGGACAGACGGAGGTTCAAGGGCCCCTTCAGGGTGTGGCAGCAGGCATGTACCTTAGTGCTCAAGAGAAGAGGTCTGCTCACCAGGCCCCTTGCTCTCCTGTGCCCCCTGGGCATGTCTGAGCCTTGGTTCCCCTTTTGTGCAGTGATGGTGTCTGTGAAGGTTCCAGAAACAGTAACTTCTGAGGTCATTTGTATTCCCATTTTCTTTTTTCTTTTTTTTTGGTCTTTTTGAGACAGGGTCTCCCTGTAGTGGGGCTGGCTTGGAACTCACTACATAGACCAGGCTGGCCTTGAACTCACAGAGTGCTGGGATTAAAGGTGTGCGCCACCATGCCTTGGCCCATTTTCCTAATTTTATAAAAATAAAATATAGTCAGAATGAAAAGGTTTCAATGTGGCTTCCAGATTTTTCTCTTGGACTCCTCAAGGTATGGGAATGGGCCTGTGTGCCTTTCTATGTGTGTGTGGTCTGCACACATTTTTGCTTCTCACCTTCTATGTCTCAGAGAAGCTCTGTACCCATGGCAGGCAGCCATGAAAGCCTCTATGTATACGCATGTGTGTGGGTGGGTGTGTGCCCACATGCATCTGTATGATAAGGCCCAAAGTGCCTCGAGGTCCCAGCTGGGGCTCCCCTGGGGCTGAAAGTCTAGCAGGACGTGAGGCCTGCAAAATGCAGGGCACCCAGTGAAGTGTGACTTTCAGATAAACACAAATATTTTAATACTTATATCCCAAGTACTGTAGGGAATACAAAGTCCTCCCTGCCCATTTTGACTAGTGCCCTGGGATTGTAATTGAATGTGTAGCCCTGGACCAGGAAGGGGACAGATGGGATCAGAGGTGCTGTCCAAGGGCAGCGACAAGGTGGGGACAGAGCAGCGCCCTCTAGGGACAAGGTCTGTGACTAGTGGCTGGAAGGGGGTATCACCACAAGACTGGGACATGGAGTTCAAGAAGAGCATGAGGGGAACCCTGGGCTGGAGCCACCAGTGGTAGTGACAAGACTGCATGACACACTGAACTGTGAGCAGGGAGAAGAGGCACAGGTCTCAGGCAGCTCCGGGGACATTGGGCTGGGAGAATACTGGTTGGGCCCACAGTGGTGACTCTGTAAACACAGCATGGAGAGCCCACTCCCACCCACCCTCAACGTCATTTGTTAGTCCAGGATCCCGTGTCCAACTTCCTCAGTGGCTTAGGACCCGAGGTCACCAAGCACAGGGAAGTCTGGGGTCCCTAGTGGGATGCAGGCCTGTGGGATCAGGAATAGTTTCCCTTGGGAGAAGTGGTGAAATGGGTGGGTACATCCGAGGCCAGAATGCTTCACGTGGCCCAGTCTCAGGAGACTCCAGGCACGGAGCATAGCAAAGGTGAGACATGGGCAGATGGGACCCTGCAGCCTCCACCTGACACCAAGTAGGTTCTGGGGAGCTGTGGGAAACTGCTTAGTGTGTGCTCTGAGCTCTTGGGAGGCAGATGTGCAGAAGACCAGCGGGTCCCTGGGAGTTAACCTCTGGCTCTGACCTCCTGAGAGGCCTGTGGCCTCGAAGTACTGCTCCCCGACAGAAATGCAGAGTTTAGGCCAACCTGACTGACTCGGGGACAATGACAAATGACAGCTGTGTTTCTGTACCCAGCCTTCATGGGCTCAGACCCCACAACCAGACCCTGAAAATTCTATTACAATTCACTGATGGGAAATGCCCAGAGCTGATAGGACCTGTCCTGGGACTCAAAATGAAAGACATGTCCTGCCAGGTCAGTCCATAGCAGACCTCAGGCCTTCAGCACCCCCAGAAGCCTCACTCAGCCAGAGTGGTCCCTGACCTTGCTGCTGGTAACTGATGTATCTAGCCTCCATCTGTCCTGTTCATTGCCATTTGCTGTACCAGAGCCCCCCAGGTCTGAGCCCTGCTGTCCCCAGCACTGGGCTCACCCCAGCTCCCACACCCCACAGTCCTCATCCCGCCGATCCGGCCTCTGCTGCTCCAACTGCCACACCGCCACCACCACTCTGTGGCGTCGCAATGCGGAGGGTGAGCCTGTGTGCAATGCCTGCGGTCTCTACATGAAGCTTCATGGGGTGAGTTCTGGGGCAAGGCTGTCTCTGTCCAGCATCACAAGGATGCCCCTCCACCCCAACTGGATAGAATGACTCTTGACCTTGGCTTGAACATGTTGTGGACGTGTTACACACATGCCAACGTCTCCCCTCCTCAGGGGGACCAGTCTGCTGCCATCATACCCACTGTGCAGACCTACTAACTGAGGCTCATGGGGCTTCTCAGGGCCTTTCAGTCCAGGATAGATGATGGACACTCCAGTCTTGTCCTCAATCCACCCCACTCCCCCATTTCCTGTTTCTGAGGGAGATGGGATGGACTGAGGGGAGCTGACCCGACAGACCTGTGCTTACAGCTCAGCCTAGCATCTAGGAGGGCCTGGCTCTGAAAAGTGGGATGGGGTGGCCACTATGCAAAGGCTCAGGGGTGAGCAGAGACAGGGAGCAGGCATCCACCCTCGCTGTCCCTACCAGGTGCCACGGCCACTGGCGATGAAGAAGGAAAGTATCCAGACAAGGAAACGGAAGCCAAGGAACCCAGCCAAGATCAAGAGCTCTGCAGGTGTGCAAGGAGCCTGGAGGGAGCCATTCCCAGACCTCTGAATCTCACCCTAATCCAGCCTGCTGGGGTCCTTTGGCTGGTTGGGAGAGGGGCACATGATGTGAGATGGTCAAGCAGGGGAACATAGGTGGGAGAAGCCACACATGGTAGGAAACGCAGCCAAACCTGCACCCTCTGTAAATGACACCTTTCTTCCCTTCCAGGATCCACAACACACACCACAGCCTCCTCTCCCACTGTCCCCAACCCTGAGAGCTCAGCCTCCACTTTGAAAGCAGAGCCCAGCCTGGCACCCCCAGTGTGTGCTGAGCCCACCATCACTTCCCAGGTAAGGGGGATGAAGCAGGAAGGTGCCAGATCCAGGTCTTCACACACCCCCCAGAGAACCCTGACTCCACCCACTCAGACCCCATCACCCACTCAGACACCCCCATCACCCACTCAGACCCCATCACCCACTCAGACCCCATCAGAGACCCCAGGGCATCTCCCAGTAATTCTCCCTAGGGCCTCTCCCAGAATTCCTCTGGTCACACAGCCCTCAACTACCCATGTGGCACCCCTCCCCTGGAGTTGCTGTGTACAGTGTGGCCCAGAGCCCTACAGGCCTTACCAGTTGTGCTCCTCAGAAGGGTTTGCCACCCATCCCAGGTCTGAAGGGCCCTCAGGGGTGAATCACACTGTGAAGGGGCAGGTATCCTCCTCCAGGCTCACACATTCCATCCTCTCTGCAGACCACCAGCCTTACGGATGAACCCCTGGTCTCCAGCCACTTGGAGTTCAAGTTCGAGGCTGAGGACTTTACTTTCCCTTCCTCATCCCTGAGTCCCCAGGCTAGCCTCAGTGGGACCTTACGTCAGGAGGCCTGGTGTGCCTTGGCCTTGGCCTAGGTCCTCAGGAAACTGTCACTGTGGCAGCTCCCAGATCTGGCTGCTAGTCCATGGGGCCTTCACCAACAGAGGCCCCTCAGTGTTTCTTAGTGCTGTGACGAGGAAACTTCATCTGCTGACCTAGAGGACGACACGAAGACACAAAGGATTTGAGCCTCTTCAGGGATAGCAAAGGACTACCCAGACCCCATATGGACCTCTATGCAGCCAAGATGACCCAGGGACGCCCACCAAGGACTTGAATTCAGCTCTCACCAGCAACAGTCAACATGTTTAGAGTTTGTAGCCGCTGGCAAAGGTTCCCAACATCCTATGGTAAAATCCAGAGCCAACTGAAACCGAGTTCTGGCAGGTAGCAGGATGGAGGGTCCAGGACACAAGGGTCTGAGCCTCAAGGTCTTCGTTTCCCACATATGACTGGGCGAGGCTGATAGTGTTTTCTCTCCTACGGACACAGGACTGCCAGGGACCAGTGTGCAGGGTGAGCACTATTCCAGGCTACCAGGACACCACCCCAAGTCAAAGGTGTCATCACAGACTTCTGTATTTATTTGTATGGTTTTTCCAGACAGGGCAGTAAAGGGCCTTGTTCCGATAATCTGTATACCATGGCTTTCACTAGTGGGCAGACCCATACAGAGAGAAGCACTGTTAGGACTAGGTGACACGTGACCTCATAGCCTGACTCAGCCGTTATCCCATCAGTTGGTAACACAGCCTCCCTCGCAGAAGCCTCTTGACACGCCAGCTAGAGGCAACTCTGCCCAGGGACTGGAGGTCAACTCTGAGGCCTTGGTGCAGGGAAGTGACAGGATATGGAGGGCGGAAGGTTCCCTCAAAGCCACACCCCCAGCAGTGTTGTCTCCATTGGCTTCTGCTTTTCACCATCAAGACCTGATTGTCCAAGGTGGTCAGAAGCCTGGATTTTCTTTAATGTGAAGCCTTCTAATTCAAGGCTTTTTTAAAGCCCCCAAGTCGATTTTAAGATCTTTTAAATACTACACAGCTACAGTTAGCCACCAGTGCCTCACGTAGAGGCTGGACCTGACACCATTCCAGCCCAAACAAGTAAAACCCTAAGAGCAGTTGTAGAATAGATCCCTGGCCTTGCACTGCCTCTGCCACTGCATCTGTGGGGTTCCCAGCCTGGTCCCAGGCATTCTAATGACCACTCGGTTCATACGCCTTCCTAAAACACATCCCCATAGTCGGATGGTTACCCAAAGTTACCCTAAGAGCCTGAAGGGATTCACAGAGGCTGACACCTTCAAGATCCCTGGCTTAGAGGGACATAGGGGTGCAAAAGAGAACTGAACACAGTCCACAGACTGACTTGAAGGTGCACACTGGGAACTGGATCACTGGAAGAACGGTGGTCAGAAGCCTGGATTTTCTTTAATGTGAAGCCTTCTAATTCAAGGCTTTTTTAAAGCCCCCAACTCGATTTTAAGATCTTTTAAATACTACACAGCTACAGTTAGCCACCAGTGCCTCACGTAGAGGCTGGACCTGACACCATTCCAGCCCAAACAAGTAAAACCCTAAGAGCAGTTGTAGAATAGATCCCTGGCCTTGCACTGCCTCTGCCACTGCATCTGTGGGGTTCCCAGCCTGGTCCCAGGCATTCTAATGACCACTCGGTTCATACGCCTTCCTAAAACACATCCCCATAGTCGGATGGTTACCCAAAGTTACCCTAAGAGCCTGAGGGATTCACAGAGGCTGACACCTTCAAGATCCCTGGCTTAGAGGGACATAGGGGTGCAAAAGAGAACTGAACACAGTCCACAGACTGACTTGAAGGTGCACACTGGGAACTGGATCACTGGAAGAACCCCCACAAACCCCAGTAAGGGCCCCTTCTTGAAACTTCACCAGCCAGGCCACCTCCTCCATCCTTCTGGGCAGCATAGCAAGGCCTGCAAGCTACACCATTCTTCAGCACACTCTCACCGTGCACACTTGGCTAGGCAGGCTCAGGGATCACTCTGTCAAGGACCCACATTCTGACCCTACCGTTGTGGGGGAAGGGTACCCCCTACATTGACTCCCTAATGATACCATATTTAGACACCCTATAACCAGCTCTGAAAAGTGACTTCCGGGTTCTGAGTAGAGCCAGGAGTGGGCAGTTTAAATGGGGAGCCCCTAAAGCTGCTGGGGGTCTGAGTGACAACCCTGAGAATCCCTCAAGAAGATTGTTGCTTCAGGTAGGAACTGCTCCATCCCTGCCACTTATTACCCACCTGCCTATGGTAGGGAGCCTGTTAAGGAGTTCCCCAGGGCTCTGTCTGGTAGGCCTTGAGGGCCTCTGGAGGGCTTGATGGCACTTACAGGGGTGCAGTCCTACCCAGGTGAGGAAAATGAGATACAGAGAAGTTAAGGGGTCATCCAGCCATGAGGGCTCGGCCACCCTTGTCCTGTCTCCTGTATGGCCCCTCACATCCTCCCACTCACTTTGGTTTGTAGAAGGAGCAGTGGCCTGGGTTATGGAGGAAAGCAAGGGTTAGTGACCTGTAGGCCTCTGCAGTCAGCACAGGGGTGAAGGCATGCCATGTTCCTGTGCTGACTGCACAGGGGTGAAGGCATGCCATGTTCCTGTGGCTGACTGGGCAGGGGTGAAGGCATGCCATGTTCCTGTGCTGACTGGGCAGGGGTGAAGGCATGCCATGTTCCTGTGGTTGACTGGGCAGGCAAACCTCATCTCACATGCTTGTAAAAGGCCTGTTCTCACACCCCAGACCCAGGTATCTCGAGGAAGGGACTACAGACCCAGGAGACACAGAGACCACCATGTAAATACCTCCAAGCAGCCACACCTCAGATTGTGCATAGACACGAGCCAGGCCACAGCCGATTGCATGAGAGCTGTGCATGGGTCTCAGCACAGAGCCTTCACCACAGCTCTGCTCCTGAGAGTCCTTTCTGTCCAAGCCCATTTCTCTTACTGTGGTAGGAAAAGCATCTGTGGCCACATCTGCACCCAGGTAGTTTCTATGATCACTGGGAAGCCGCCAGATAATGAGGCAGCACAGGCACTGACCAGCCCAGGAAGGCTTCCTGGAGAGATCCACATTAAGAGGCATAGGGGCAAGTGGCATCCCCTTAGATAGAGAGGAAGAGGGCTCATCCTGGTCCTAGACTCCCCATCTGTGAAGAAGGGCCCCTAAGGGGAAGGGCAACCAGGCTGTAAGTGATCCCTCCCACTTCTGTTTCTTAACTAAGGTGTGTCCAGGATGAAGGAGGCCATGGGCTCTGCCGTCGCTCATGGTCACTGATGCTAAATTTACTCTTTCTCCTCTTCAAGAGGAAGCCAGTGAACCAGGTCCTTAATACAGCTGCCAGGCACCCCTCCTGGCTGCTCTTCCTCCCTCTACCTACCCCCATCCTGCCCGCTGGTCATCAATCACCAGATGAACTATAGGCTGGCAGACAAGAACTGGGGACCGTATCTGAACAGCACGATGGAAAGGGTGATTCCTTTGTTTGCAGCCTGGAATCTTTGTTTCTATCACATTTGAGCTGCAGCACCTCAGATCCTGCAGCAGGAGAGGCTCTGGCACACTCGGCTCCAAAATATCCCCCAGGCACTAGGATGTACCCTGGGCAGCCTGGGGAAGGGAAGAAATCCAGTGAGGCTGAGAAGTGGAGCACTTGGGGTGTAGAAATGGGGAGACCTGTCAGTTGGGTTTTGCCTGAACAGTTGGGCAGAGCTTCTATCTCTGGCAAAATAAACCCTGCTCAGCACTTAGCACCATGGCTCAGCGGACAGGTGCTGCTCCTTCAGGCCCATATGATCCATTCCCACCCCATTTCCAGGTCTTTCTGTAGCTGGTCACCTCGTGTTGGTGTGTTCTCTGTGAGTACTGACATACAGAGTCAGTAGATGGCTTCGTCTCAGAGCATGACCCACCAGACCCTGAGAACTGTCCTACACCAGGCAGCCAAATGCTAGGGATACTGCCGTGATGCTGAACTGGGACCTGGACTTGCAGGGGTACAGTCAAATGGAGGGTTGGGGTCTCCTAGGCGGAAAGAGCAAAGTAAAGCAAATTCTTGAAGGTGCCAGCCTTTCTCAGAAGGGAAAACCTAGGAGACCACAAAGTGCAATCGCTTCCTGTTTGACCAAAAAGGGAATTTCATAGAACAGCCCACTAGCCACTGTCCCCACCATCACACGGGTCTATGGCAAACACCGAAGGTGCCATGATGCAGAAGGGCATTACACACAGTGCACTGACCATCCACAAGGCCCTCACTGCTGTCCTTGGTCACAGCGTCGTGGACAGGTCTGGTGGCTCAGGCAGCATTCCCCAGGATGTGTAAACAGGCTGTGAGGGAGAGCGGCCTGCATGGAGAGGAAGTGAGGGGCCACTCAAAGGAAAAGAAGAGACCTGGGAGACAGCATGGAATTCAGATCCACTCTCCGTCGAGGGAATGCTGGCTCCATGGCCCCAGTTCCCTGTGTTTAGAGGTACATGGACCTGCAGCTAAAAGGTGTCTGGTACTCAAGAGTCCCTGCAACCCCTCTGAGTGTAGGCACTGGGGGCATTCACCTCTGTGGAGCTCAGCTGAGATGGGGGTGAACACCAGGGAGGCCAAAAGTGACTCCCTAGCATGAGTTCCACTCTCCTGTGGTTTGGAGTGTATCACATCCCACATCATCCTTTATTAATCACCAAGTCTCTGCCGGGTGTGGTGGCTCACGCCTTTAATCCCAGCACTAGGGAGGCAGAGGCAGACGATCTCTGTGAGTTCAAGGCCACCAAGGCCAGCCTGGTCTACACAGTGAGTTCCAGGACAGCTGGGGCTATGGGGAGACCCTGTCTCAAAAAGACCAAAAAAAAAGAATCAGAGTCTCTCTGGGCCTGTCCTCTGTGTGGACCATGTGATCCAAGGAAGGAAGACCCTGCCATGCCCTCCTGAGTTCCACCCTCCAGACTCCCTCTCCACCAATGGAGAAGTAAAGACAAAGACCCTATACCTTGCAGCTGCCAGGCTCTGCGGGGGATATCCCTGGTGCCTGAGTTCCCCACACACGCACTTGGGTGGAGGCTGACCCTGGCCTCAAAGGGGAGGGATCTGACTAAGCCCCTCTTGGGCAGCCCCCTCCCCGCTGGGCCCTGCGCGCCGCCAAGATGTTGACATGGACGGCTCCAGCCGTCTTATTTATTATCTGATAAAGTGAGCCCGGCACCGCTGGTGGACAGCGTCTGGCCGCTCTGGGGCCGGACAGCATGGGGGAGGAGGAAGGCAGTGGGAAAGAGCTGGGCCCCAGCCGCACTCCAGGCCAGGCCTCCAACCTGGACTCTGGGACGGGACACATGGGGAATCTCAATTTCTCCTTCCCCACCATTAACCTTTCTTCCCTGCTTGCTGAGTCAGCCAAGGATGGAGGCCCTAGAGTCTTCCTGCCTGGAGTGCCACATACACCAGAGGCTGTGCCCCCCCCACCAAACTCTGCTCCCTCAGGTCCCCAAATTTAACTGGCTCCTTCCTCCCCCTGTACACTGTCACCCAATTACTGCTGC